TAAACAATAAACAAAATAATCACTTGACTATAAATGTGTAGTTGTTTTATGATGAGATAGTTCTCTGTGATATACCTCAACCACTGTACCTTGACATTATTACTGGACTATATTGGAGCCAATTCAAACAAGTTAGGAGCTAATATTTCCATATACGTAATAAAAAGTTGGAGCAGGAAATGCACGAGGATTTAAAAAAAAAAACTGTGTGAGTTTCTGTAGATGCTGTATGAACAGCATTCATTTAGTACCTTCTGCAGTCTGCATTTTTTACATAGACGTGGGAGGTTTGAATTTCAGGATCATGCAAAACTATTCCTGAAAAAGAAAAGTTCCAAACAACCTGCATCAAAAAGCCTTGAAATTAGGATTCGTAATGTGGAGGCTGACACTTTCCTCACTAATACATTTGCACAACTGTCAGTTTGCATGGCAGCAAAGTTTAAGTGTTGTGGTAAAACCGATGAAAGAAAAATAGTAACTGAGCCACAAGGTTTTTGTACTTAAGATTAAACTAAAACCAGGTGTGAACAAACACGTCTGTTAACTGAAACAAAATAAAACTAGCCTTTAAAAAAGTACTAACTGAAACTATAGTGTACACTCACGAACTAGTAAGTAAAAAATAAATTAAATAAAAAAAATATATGAAATGTTTTTAGCTTGACTCTTTGACCACCTGTGTTTACTGGGACTTGTTTAAGATAAAGCGCCTTGAGTTCTCAGATAGAGTAGAAAAGCGCTGCATAAGAACCAGTCCATTTACCATTTACCTGTTGGCATCTTTATGGCTGTGACTCAAAGACCTGCAAAAAGTGCTGCTTGTTTTGTAATATCTGTCACTCCTGACACACATCCTACTCATTATATTAAATACAATAAAGCTCACCCTGACATGAGAACATCAAAATATTTTCAAATAAACTAACTAAAAGGAAGAAACTAACTGAATCTAAGAATCTACACTTAATGTAAACGTTCTTTGAGGGATCAGAAAGAGTAGAAAAATGCCTTTTATTTATTTACTTGGTATCAAGTCAACTAGTATACTAAATATCAAATGTAATGGATTTTAATGCTTCTGACTGATATGTTTTTCAATTGTTTCATTAGAAGAAATATCTTGATACCTGGAAAATAGAATAGAACCGAATAGAATAGCACTTTAATGTCATTGTCCATGTACAATGAAATTATGGGCGTTCCACGCCAACTGTGCGGGAGTGTAGAAGACAGCAATAAATAGCAAACAGAATGATATAAACAGTGCAGATGAATATGTAATAGAAAAGCACACAATCAAAGAGGTTGGAGGTAGTTCAAAATGAAAATGGCGGTTTTCAGAAAGTTCTCCTACAGGATCCTCTGTATAAACAACAACATAGACTGTCTTACAGAGCACCAAGGTCTATCGTATATATTAGTGGCGGAAAACAAATGTGAAGTATATTTGAATGTAGTTGTAAGAAACCAGTTGGAACACAATGAGATTTGTCCAGGTGCTAGCTTCATCTCATCACCTTAAACAGTCAATATGAAGAAAGTAAACATCTACGTTTTTTATATTTTAGAAAAATATTTTGACACTATCAGTTCAAATTGAATTGTCAGTTCTTGTAACCTTATATTTAAAGTGTGTACCACAACGGTGAAGTTCCCATAAACACTCTTTAAATACCAATGCCTTTCATGCAATTCATAGAGAATAAGAATTAAAAGAAAATATAGCAAATATATGTGTGTGTGTGTGTGTGTGTGTGTGTGTGACAAAAATCCTCCTAAAATTATTCCTAAAAGCCATTTTGATTGAATTTTTGCAGCAAACAATTCTAAACACATCACAACTCATGTGGCGCTCTTACAGGAAACATTAACACTTTGTGCAGCACAATGTTAAACTATAATACAACCCACTGTAAGGAAATTGGATTGGGTAGGAGTAATCTGTAATTTTGAACAATCTGTACACCTGATAGCAGCTTTCCACTGACTGAAAGATAAAAGACCACTTTATAATATCATGGATATTTACATATTTTATTATATTTATAACATTGAAAACTCATAGTTGTTCTACACTACAGGCTGCATTCATACATTCATTAATACTTGATTCACTAGGAACAATTTGGAGTTCAACCTCAAAAGAGCAAATTTCCTCTTGATAGATGATCTACTCATGAAACAAGTCTACATTGAAAATTTTAATTCAGTTTTGTTTATATAGTACCGATTCACAACAGCAGCAACAACAACATAATAGTGTTTCAATTAGAAATATTTGGGGCTGAAATTGAATAGCGTTGTGTGCCAAGGATAATGTTTTAATACACTAGGGTTGTGAAAAAGGCTGCAAAAATTGTGTTATCAAATAAAGAATGCAATAGTTCAAAATGGTTTAGTTTTTAAACTGACTGCTGGCTTCAGATTAAAGAAGAAGCACATGTAGATATGGGCAAATCTAAAGTCTGATTTAATTAAAAAGTGGAAGCCAGTCACTGAAGAGCGGATGGTCAATGAGCTGAGACTGGCACACGATGGTAGCTGAAACAGCTGGTTCATATACTGCTGGAGGTGAGTAATTGATGCAGATGTGGAAAAACAAAACACTGTGGTTGGTGCTGTCTCCTCACAGCAGGAAGGTTCTTGGTTTGAGTCTCCACAGGTGCAGATGTGAAGTAGATAAAGTGTGAATTATTGTAAAGTCCATTTCATCCCATAATAACAGGATGCCACAGTTTAAACACTGACAGAGATAAGTTTGTTAAAATAAAATGAAAATATAAGGAGGGATGAAGTATTGTAACATGTTTGTAACATTACAGTAACAGTAATAGAGACCGAAAGGATTAAATGCGGCTCCCAATTGGGTCATAATTTAAAAAAGAAAATGCAATTTAAATCCTTGTAATCATTTCTATGTGGACGTGTGTGTTTTCAGCACTAGCAGCCCGAGTCATCTACGAGGTTCCCCACATAGACTCCGAGATGGCAGATGCGGACAAAGACAGCACAAGCTCGTCCAGAGGCTCGTCTCAGTGGGTGAGAACAGGGTTAATTTCAGGGTGATGTTTTAGTTAGTTTAGGAGGACGTTAGCGAAAAGTACTGATAATCATTTTTAAACAGTCCGAATACATGTTGATCCAGTTTCACTGAGTTATTCACGGTGACTTCAACATTGAGACATCATAAAAATATAACTGACATAATGTTTCTACCTAACTATGTGTTAAACTCAGATTGCCTGTTGAGTTTTAGGTTGTGCATTTTAGGAAACACTGACCCGTGGAGCGCCTCAGTCTGTGATGTCTGAGTGATGAGCTTCTTCTTTATGTCCTTCTCTTTCAGCGTCAAGTGCCTCTGTATGAATCCTTCTATTTCGAGCATGTGGATCCCAAAGAAAGTAAATGATGAGTGTCGGCTCCGGAGTTTTCTTGTGTACTTTCTGTCCTGTATATAGCATTTTTTCATTTTACATATTTGCATGATTGCAAAACCCCCATATATGGTTGTAAATATGTATGTATTTTTCTATAAACTACATCTTAATTAAAATTAATTTCAGTAAAGGAGAAAGTGATGGGGCGTTAGTCCCATAAAGCCTGAATCACAAAATAATAATATGTTTATGTGTTTAATTAACCTTCTGACAAATAAAAAAATGAAATAAGTGATGAATTTGCATAGTGTTTTAATTTGTGGCATCTTTCACATTCAGGATTTTTGTGCAATTCCTTCCTTAAGAATGTATTGTGCAATTTATTTCGGTATTTCAGGGGGGAAAATCACTCTGATCATGCAGACATCAAATAGGATACACCCAACATCACAGGGTTAAACACTGATAATGGTATCAGGCAGAATTTGATCAGGCTAAAACACGATCAGCAACAGTGAGGGTTAAAAATGCGACACTGAACACGCAGGTTTTGTAATGATTACAGCTTACGATTAGGATGCTGAATGGAAAGTGTGGTGTTCAGGGGTCGCTGTATAGTAGGTCACTGACAGGAAGTGGAAAGTACGCCTGTGACGGGCGAAGGTTTGCTATGTGCGTGTTTGTCGTATCAACCACACAAAACTTGTACATCTCAAATAAATCTGAGACATTAAATGCATGTCTCTGACATTATAAATGTGTCCTCATCATTCAGTACATCTTCTCTGTATTTATGTTATAAGGTCAACGTTTCAGTGTTTTCACCATGATTGAAGGCAGAATCAGACTGCTAGTTAGCGACGAGCTCCTAAAATACCTTTTCTCTGAAGACTGACCTCCAAGTGACTTAGCAGCCCATTTACATACGTGATGTTTATAACTATAAACATAACTATAAACATTTTTTTCATCCTGGTTCTTACTGGCTCAGTGCTTCCACAGTACACGCTACAGTCACACATTTATTCAAGCATTCAGAACAATTTGACAACAATTGAAATTTGCCCAAGGAAATCAAACCAGCGGGTTTCCTGTTTTTAGATGACCTACCTAAGCATCTGAGCCAAATCTGTCCTAGTAACATTTGGTGGTGAGCAAAGACTGACCTCAAACTGCAACATATACTATTGCAGAAAACATGAGATGCTTACATGCAGTGCTCCGTCTTTGGGAGGACGGCATGACGATTGCCACTGAAGCATTTGATGTGTAATTGAAGTGCAGACTTTTAAGGTTTAATTCAAACTATTTAAGAATTACACCTATGCTTTAATCCTTGGATGAACGAACAGCCAATGTCTGCCCAAAGTCTTTAACCATTGGGCATCCCCAAATGATATGTTTCTTCTCTTGAGTTGCTCTGCTAGACGTTTACGTCCAATTTTGTTTGTTTGTGGATCTTTGAGGCCTTTTGGAGTTGCTGAGCTGGTGAGCGTGTTGATTCTTTTAACTACCCAACAGATTGCTGATTTTGTCACTTCTAAAGTTTTTGCAGATAATTTTGGGTTTTTCAGCCTAATGATGGACTAACTCCTATCTCTTTGGGCATCATTTTTAAATTACATCAAATTCAACCCTGAATCAACCTCAGATATAATGTCTGCTTATTTGCTAAATGTTCTAATAACTGAAGTCAAAGTCAGCTATTGTCAAAGATCATATGCACAGTCATACACAAGAATTTGCTCCCATTGCCCTCAGTGTGCACTCAAACAATATAAAGATTAAAAGATGAAAAATAAAAGTCTTATGTAAAACACCATACAATACAATACAATCTTATATAAACAGCAGTGTCTAACACAATTACACAATCATAGTGATTGTGGGCAAGTTCGCGTGGGTGTGCAAGTGGGGGTAGGGCAGTCAGTGAAAGGGCAATGGTGGTGGTACAGAGTTTTGTATGTTTGGGGGTTTCAGAGGAATGAGGTGAATGCAGGTCTGGGGTTCATGTGTGTGACAGCAGGGAGTGAATTCAGCATCCCGACAGCCTGACGGACGGAGCTGTCTCTGGTTATATCTGCTGGTTCTAGCCCGGAGGCTCTTCAGTTTCCTTCATGATGGCAGCAAACTGAAGATGCTGTTGAACGGATGAGTGCAGTCACCTGTAATACAGAGGGCTTTCCGGATTAGGCAGTTGCAGTAGATGTCCTGGAGAGAGGGAAGAGAGGTACCCACAATCCTCTCTGCTGCTCTCACTACCCGTTCTAACTTTTCCGGGAGGACCCAGTGCAGGAGCCATACCACACAGTGATGCAGCTGGGGGTTGAGGCTCTTGCTCTCCTCAGTTTGCAGAGGAAGTAGAGTCGCTGTTGGGCTTTACTGACCAGTGATGCTGTGTTTTTTGATCAGGAGAGATCTTCTGAGATGTGCACACCCAGGAACTTGGCGCTGCTTACCCTCTCCACAGCAGCACCACTGATGGTTAGTGGTGCTGCTGTGAGGGGTGTGAATTCCCCTGAAGTCTATGATGATCTCCTTAGTTTTCTCCACATTCAGGGACAGGTTGTTGTTGCTGCATTACTCTGCCAGAGGGTTAACCTCTCTCCTGTAGTAGGTTTTATCATTGTGGCTGATGTGACCTACCACAGTTGCGTCATCTGCAAACTTGATGAAAAGGTTGGAGTTGAGTGATGGTGTGCAGTCGTGGGTCAGCAGAGTGAAGAGGAGGGGCCCCAACCCACATCCTTGGAGAGCCCCTGTACTCAGTGTTATTGTGCTAGAAGTGTTACTGCAGACCTTTACTGTCTGCTTTCTTCCTGTCAGGAAATCCAGCAGCCAGTTACAGCCAGTAACTGAATAGGGTCTGTAGCTGTCTCGTGAGTTGGTATGAGTCAGTGACCACTGCGGATATTATTCCCCTGTAAACTTTATACTTTATACCGTCCGATACCAATACATAACCCCCCATTGACTGTTCCGATTGGATTAGCCCACACAGATGGCTCATAACACACAAATGGTGCAGAGTGATCATTTAACCAAATGATCTACAGGATCTGTCAGTATAATTGAGCTGTATGAGATAACAGAATAAAATGTTTTATGGATAGTTACAATAAAAAAGCAAGCTAGCATTGGATTAACTCCCTTTTTAAAGTCCATCTATAATAAAACAAGAATGAATGGTTTGTGCAGATGTCTGCACAAATACTGTACACACCAAGAACATTACTTATCTGCTGTACAACATTTACTGGTAACTTTGTTACTACTTTGAGTAAATGTTTTCTCATGTGTTTAGTTAGAAGAAACACAAAACTACACCAAGCGACGACGCTGCCGATGATAAAAGGGTGTTTCCTCAGTCCTTAGTATAATGAGTCTCTGCCTGTCTGTGGCTTTTTGCGCAGAGCGTACAAAAAGCATTTGATTCAT